ATTCAGCAAGGATGTAGGATGTGTTAAATGGATAGAAAGTGATAGTAATGACTTATATTGTTAGAAAATATTAATATTTTGAATATCTTTTTAACTTTTTATTAAGATATTAAGCAGCACAACAGTTTCAACACTGATAATATATCAGCATATTAGAATGATTTCTGAAAGGTCATGTGACACTGAAAACTGGAGTAATGATGCTGAAAATTCTGTGCTGCGTCACAGAAATAAATTATATTTTAAAGTATATTAAAATAGGAAACCAATATTAGCAATTGCAATAATATTTCAGAATATTACTGTTTTTTTTATATATATATATAAATACAGCCTTGATTCGTGTTACTTTTCTTTAGGTTCTCCAATCATCAGGCCTTTCTGGACATACTGAATGAGATGAACGACTATGCGGGCCAGAGGGAGCTGATCGCTGAGAACATGATGATCAATATCTGCATCGAGCTCACAAAGTACCTGCAGGAGCTCAAACAGGAGCGCAAGATGGTGAGAGAATGAGAGAGGCAGTCGGAGAAACTGGGCCAGGCTTAAAATAAAGAATGCTGTGGGACAGAGGGCCGGGAAGGACGCAGAGAGGGGGATTGTGGGTATGAAGGAGAGGCGGTGGAGAACATGTCACACTGCTTGTTTGAGAAGAAACATTCGAGTCTGTTGTGGTGGAAGTCTCATTTTGATTTGTGCCACACTGTCAGAGGAATGCTTTGGTGATCTTCATAAAGATCAGTCGATACTCGGCATATAACCTCAGCTGTCTCCTCTTGTTTGTCACTTGGAATTTATGGGATACTGTTTTTATTGTTAGTGCTTCCTAAGGCAAACAACACTAGAGTTAGGGATTTGAACAAATGACTAACCTTAAGTATTATACTGGTTCTGCTGCAGACATGAATGTTACATCAGATTAATGGGCTAAATATGCTTGGTTTGAAAGAGGTGTGCTGTTTTTTTTTTTTTTGTAAGTGATCATATTTTTGGGTGGAAAAAATCACATAGACGTACATAGAAGGAGGGACCTTAGTATCTAGAGCTAAGAATATCAACGACTTTTAGGTGGGCCAATAAACAAACACCCTAGCAACTACTTGTATATGACCTAGCAACCGCATGGCAATATAATAAAACACTCAGATGCTCCTTAGCACCAAACGCATAGTAATGACCTTTCACAATGCCTAAGGAGCTTCATAGTAATAAATGAAAATCCATGCGAAACATCTTAGCAACCATATAGCAAGACCCTGGAAAACCACACTGTAAAGTCACGATGAAACACAGTGTAGAGAGACCTTTTCTGCTGTATTCTGACATACATTAGAGTAGAATCGATTATCGATGGGGACTTGGTTCTGTTCATTGGTTGCTGATTGGATGGAGGAAGATCTAAATGCGAGCTTGCAGTCAATTGTAAGAAAGGGGTGGGTTTAAGTAGACAAAATGATTTATCATATAAGGGCTTGGCGATATAGCTAAAAAATATATAAACAATATAATGTTTCATATCGTTCGATATTGATAATTATTACTTTTTTTTTTTTTACTTTTTTTTTTTTTAAACGAAAAGCAATAGAAAAATTTTTTAAATTTAACCACTGTATTTTTATTTTACCTAATTTGTTAAGACAAACAACAAATAATTTTTTGTTTTAACAGTCAAACACAAAATCAAATTTAAACCAATATCTCCTTTTTTATGTTTTATGTACAGATTAAGTAAGTCTTCAGGAAACTTTTGGCTTGGCCTATATTGTGCGCTATATTGAATTTTTTTTCTATCGTTATCGATGAAAGTGTACCATTGATAAATACAGATACCGTTTTATCGCCCAGGCCTAAATTAAAAAGACACACACAGAAAAAAAAACAAACCTATGCATGGATGAATTGTTCACAGTAAGATCTATAATGTGCATTTAGAACAGATTCGTGCATTTAGAACAGATTCATACATTTATAAAAGTGAATTTACATTTTGTGCATACTTTAAACTTAGACTTCATGTTGAGGCAAGCAGCACTCATATTTTTCTTCAAAAAATGTAAAAATCTGGATGTGTATTTTATTTCTGAAAGCCCAAAACACACTGACCATGGTTCCACTCTCTCTCTCTCTCTCTCTCTCTCTCTCTCTCTCTCTCTCTCTGTAATGTGCAGCATCTGTCAGAAGCCAAGAAAGCACAACAGTCTCTGGAGGGCACCTACAAGCAGCTTGACAATGTAAGTTTCTCTCTGTGACAGGTTGTGATGGAGACTCTGTTGTGGTGGTGTGTCTCACTGTGTCGTTGAACCACCAGATCAGACTGCGCTTGATGAGTTTACATCCTTGTCAAAGGCGTGCGATACGTCTCTTTGTGGCATAAGCGCTGACTGTGGGGAGAGTGCTCTTTTGTCTCTATTGTTTCTGCTCAGTGTGGGGTTGTATCGAGGGATTGAAAGTGATTGTTTACTGATAATTTCTGTGGCCATTGTGTTTGGTCAGGTGAGGGTCAGGAGTGTAAACAGACACACACATTCAAATGCTCTTGAAGCAGCTGATATTTTCCAGTTAACAATGAGCAGATATTTTAGACACCTTTAAAGGGATAGTTCACCCAAAAATGAAAATTCTGTCATTCATTACTCACCCTCATGTCGTTACAAAACCAAAGACCTTTGTTCATCTTCAGAACACAAATTAAGAAAGCCCAAAAGCTTTCTAACCCTGCATAGACAACAACACAACTGACACATTCAAGGCCCAGAAAGGTAGAAAGGACATTGTTAAAATAATCCGTGAGACATCATGGTACTCTTGTGAATGCGCGTCGACTGACATGAAAGAGAAGAAATTGTTGAATAAAAGTAAAATTTTTGTTTTCTTTGCACACAGAAAGTATTCTCGTAGCTTCAGAAAATTAAGGTTGAATCACTGATGTCACATGGACTATTTTAACAATGTCCTTAATATCTTAATTTGTGAACAGAAGATGGACAAAGGTCTTACAGGTTTGGAACAACATGAGGGTGAGTAATTAATGACAGAATTTTCATTTTTGGGTGAACTATCCCTTTAAAGATAACATATTCACAATGTATCATATTAATTTAGAAATGTCCATAGTTGTACAATATTGTTCATGTTATTTTAAACAAAAAAGGTTTTTCATGTTTTATCCAAATTTGATGATCTCTTTTCCACTGTTGTTACCAGTCATACAATGGTGGGGAAATACCGTGTTATCCAATAATATTGTATATTAAAATGTTTCACTCCTACTGAATAAAATCAGGTCACATCCTGTATTGTTATCAGGTATCCTGCTCTATTTCACAGAAATATGGCATATAACAATAGAATTTAAATGTGTTGTGAATCTTGTTTTTTTAATACCCCAAAAATCTGTATATTCGTTTCTCCACCATCATGTTACAAACCCACATGATTTACTTTATTCTGTGGAACACAAAATGATTTTAAACAGAATATTCATTCTGATCTTTTCCATGAAATCTAAGTATCAAGCTCCAAAAAAATATATAAAAAAAGCAATGTTAGTTATATATGATGTTATATTCAGTTATCTGAAGCCTTACAGTAATGTTCTGTGGGGAACCTACATCTAAATGGTAAATTTGAAATCAAATATGCATTCGAAAAGTATTTTCTCTTTACCACCAATATAGACCAACAATTTAGATTTTCTCTCCAAAAATGCTCTCTTGAATCTGAAGCTTTCTGCCCTCTACAAATGCAGCTGCGTTTAAGAATCAGTCACTTGTTTACACCTTTACTCTTTTCTATAGGTTGAAGGGCACATAGTGCGCTGTATAAGGGATAAGGAGCGAGCTTGAATTCAGTGGCACCAAAAGCCTTTGCTTTATTTCTCATAACCAGTAGTGATATGTCTGTGGACGAAAGAAAGTGATATAGGTTTGGAAAAACATGAAAGGAAATGCTGACACAATCTTAATTTTGGTGTAAAATACCCCTGTAATGGCTGCAAATAAGAGCATTGTGTATGTAAACGCTTTGATTCATGTGGTGGATGTTATTTTCATGGTAGAGTAAAAAGCGATTTGAGAGGGAGTGGAGAGAAGCAGAGAAGGCTGCTCAATGTGCAGAGAAAACAGATCAGGACCTCAATGCCACCAAAGCCGATGTGGAAAAGGTATTTATGTTGCTCCAAAAGGTTTCACAGGTCTTGCCACTCCCTTGCATGCACATCTCCCATCCCACCATCTCATTTCCATCATATCCAAATGCATTATTGTTGTTTCCTTCTTCCTCTTTATGTATGGGTGTCTGATTTCACTTTATCTTTACTTCTGCGTGTGAATGTAGGCCAAACAGCAGGCGCATATGCGAACGCACATAGCAGAGGAGTGTAAAAACGACTACGCTTCACAACTTCAGAAGTACAACAAAGAACAGAATCAGTTCTACTTCACGGACATGCCTCTTGTTTTCAATGTAAGAAACATGTTGAGACACATTTGTTCCTCTCAGCTTACTGTAGGAATGATCCTTTGCAGAGTGCATACTGATATCTGTATGCATGTTTGTTCACTGTAGAGGCTGCAGGACATGGATGAACGGCGTATCAAAAAGTTGGCGCAGGGTTACATCCTGTTTGCAGACACGGAGCGTCACGTCATGCCCATCATTGGGAAGTGTCTGGAGGGCATGACCAGAGCTGGCACGAATGTCAACGAGAGTAATGTGAGTTCTCAGTTGTGTTTTTAAGAAAAGCACTTTCGTTTCCTGCTCTCAGTAAACCATGGGTGTCCAGTCCTGCTTTGGGAGGACCACTATCCTGCAGAATTCAGCTCCAATCCTGAACCAGATAATCAACTTCCAGGCAAATGTGATCAGGCAGGTTGGAGCTAATCTCAGCAGGACATTGGCCCTCTGGGAGAAGGATTGGACAACCTTGCATTAAGCCAGCCACTTTAAAAGAGCAGTCAACCCTCTGCAAGCCGACACATGGAGTAGCTAACACTTTTCTGTGTTATTCAGGACTCTGTGGTTCTTATAGAGCAACACAAGTCTGGCTTCGAGAGACCAGGAGATGTGGAGTTTGAGGATTACAGTCAGGGCATCAACCGGGCCTCCTCGGACAGCAGCCTGGGCACTCCTAAAGGTCCTCTAGAGTTGCTCGGCAAGAACAAGAATAAAACATTCCGGTTGTTCAATAAGAAGAGCAAGGTAGGCTTCACTACTCTCTGAAGGCAGAGTTCCTTCAGATGAAATTTATTTGTTTTGTGTGGAGATGGAAAGTTCTCTTTTACCCTGCTGGAAAAGCCCTGCCAAAGGTTGCCAAAGTTAGTTTACTCAACTCAACCAGATCCCATCAGCTTGTCCATGCTGATCTACCAGCTTTAACCAGGTAGACTTTAGTCCCAACTCCTGATAGTCCACCTGATCGACCATCTAAATCAGGTCTGTCCAATTCTGCTAGAAACACTAGAAACTGGCAGACAAGCATGTTGAAGAGCTTGATTAGTAGGGCTGCACGATCGACATTATCGAAATATCGCGATTAATGTAAGTATCGCGATATGCATATCGCAACGGTGTGCGATATCTGAATCATTTTAATAATAGGCTACTTAAATCAAAACGTTGCAAAAGGTCAAAGTTTTAGTTCGACGCATATAGTAGAGAATTGCTTGACGTTAAAAAGAGTTAAGTGCAATAAGTTGCAGAAAACAACTCTTTGCCGTCTCGTCTTGCTGTCTGACAGACTCACACCTGAAGCACACACACAGAGAGACGAGTTTCAGATGGTGCGCGAACACCGAGTTGATTCGTCTTTCGCGTCTCCTCCTCATGTTCGAACAGACACATACACACAGAATTATGTCAATAGTACCCGTCTCGACGATCATTTTCGTAAACGCAGTCAGTTATGTTTTAAATGAATGTAAACAGCTGAGAAAGAAATCGGATGTGTATCATTATACTGGATCCGTGCAGTCGGATTTAAAGGGACAGCAGCCTATAAATACGTGCTGCTGAATATGTCACTAATGTTAACAAAACAACAAAACGGCTATAACAAAAATTTATCTAAATTTAATTCATACAATGAACACTATGCAGTGTTATTTTACACTTAATTATTAAATTTATGTACCTGAATACGACTGTTT